GGCTACATACCTGAACCCATCAATCTAACTGTATGTTCATTACAATATTCACTTCATAAATAACAAACCTCGAAACATATTTTATTTTTAAATGACCAATACTGTTAAATAAAGGAAGTGGGTGTATATACTGTCCATGATTTTTCACGTTATGTCGTTTATGTTAAATACAAGTTCTAACTAAAGTTTAATGCTGGAATGAGTGAGTGAGTGAGTTTAGTTTTACGCCGCTTTTAGCAATATTCCAGCAATACCACGGCGGGGACACCAGACATGGACACACATTGTACCCATGTGGGAAATCGAACCCGGATCATCGGCTTGACGAGCGAACGCCTTAACCACTATGCTACCCCACCGCCCCGGTTAAGGCAGATCAAAGTGAATATTGAAATATATCAACCCTATGGAATGTGATTGAACTCGATACATCCACGTTAAAATATTATAAATGTAGTAAGAGTTCGATACAACCACATTCGACACATACGAGTACAAAATTTGTATCTGTGTATGTTTTCTAGTACATACATAATCCTTTACCGGTTTGTCCTTCTGCATGAACTCGTTTCATATGTCAGTAATCAATTGAACAAAACTGTCTCAGCCATGACAAAATAAACACACATAAAATCACGATACGATTCATAAAATGCCTCCGGAGGCCTGGGAATCTTTTAATTTGTAGAAAATCGTTTAATCTCCGCTGTGAAAATATGTCTGATCAATCATCGTAATAGCAACTGTGTCCCGCATCCTTGGCGGGTCCAGCCTGTTGGTGCTCTGCAACAGCGTTGTGGCTCTATTGTAACCTATAATTATCATCAGGCCTCATAGTTATCTAGCCATCTAGCCAATCGATGTGTGCCAAGAAAACATAATACATACGGACACATGAGACGATATGTTAAAACATGTAGAAATCATGGCCCCTAATTGTGTGAGTTTGGATCGAAGACACTTTCAACGGTTTTCAGGTATGGCCACGTAACATGGAGTGAGTGAGTGAGTTGTTTTATATCCGCTTTAAACGATATTCCAGTTATATCACGGCATAACGTCTAAATGTGGGATGAGTGAGTGAGTTTTTTAAACTCCGCTTACACCGATATTCCAGTTATATCACTACGTAATATCTTTAAGCTGGTGGAAAGCTCGAAGTGATACTTACGCCAGTTTTGTGAAAACCAAGGGTTTGCTGCTGGTAAGCCTATAGAAACATAATCAGGGTCAACCGAGGTTCGAATCCACATTCAAAGGTTTGTGGCGTTCCCGAGGGTCGCAGCTATGCCTTGCGAGTAGCAGCGTCTTACACAACTGGGTCAGACATTGCCCGCTACTGTATGCGGACGATGATCGTGAAGGAGATGTCCCGGCTTTCCATACTGATGAAAATCACGATCATTGGTGCAGTGTCAACAGACCAGGGATCCTAATCGGGAACAATGTTGGATCCTCGCCATAATAAGGGATGTAACTCTGACTACAACCATGTTTAGTTTCACATCCGTCATGTGAAATCTGTAAAAAAACGCTACGAATAATGGAAAGACGAATTTTTTGTCTTCAGCTGCTTTTATTTGATTCTGATGCGTAGATTATGTTGTGTTAAATTTGTAGAGTCTCTTCGTAAAGTGACCTGCTTGTCGTAAGAGGCGATACCGTCTTCAAATTTGGTTAATCGCTGTTCATGATTTGATTCTGCTGCAAGGAATGTTTCCTCACCCAATGGTTTTCTTGCTCGAAATTCGATGATTTACAAACAGCGGCATAGCTTGGATGTAGATGACTACGGCTCAAAACAATATTCACTCTCTAAGACGATATTATCCATGCTGATGGTAGTCGTAACTACCCGCCTTTTTCCGTGACCTACAAGAAGACTCGTACCTGTATAGTACGCCATTATTGCCAAGAATCGTGGCAAATCAATCAAATCGTGTGTAGTAAAATATGAAATGAGTCAAATAGTTTCTTTGCGATTTTCGATTTTTATTATTATGTCAAGATATTGTTTATAAAATTATCTTATAACTGATATTTGTTAACGACATATGAAACTTACTTAAATTTCTAGGAGGAGCCATGTTTGGAAATTCAGAGTTATCCTTCCTTGGAAATAGTACTAGACTATTTTCATCTCCGTGCCCTTTTACTCTTAGACAAAGCCTAGTCGTGAACATGGCCACGAGAAGGGGACGAGTCGAGATCCGGCTTGCCGGAATAACACGAGTAGTTACGAATGTGTTGATGGGTGTCACCACAATTGCAAACGTTCAATACCCGTTTGCTGCTGGTCTTCCCACATCAATCTTTCACGCCGTCATAGAGCTGGAGTGTGAATCTATACGCCGTAAATCTACATTCACTCACTCCCTAAGGCCATATTACCCATGCTGGCTCGCAATACTCCTGAAGAACTTATCTTGCCACCGTTACACTAAGCTATGTTAGTGCTAAGGCAGTCGCAACTCCCATACATCAACATCGACTACTCCCAAACTAAGAGACTTTCGGGGCGGTGTGGTAGCCCTGTGGTTAAAGCGTTCGCTCGTCACGCCGAACACCCGGGTTCGATTCCCCACATGGGTACTATGTGAGAAGCCCATTTCTGGTGTCCCCCGCCGTGATATTGCTGGAATATTGCTAAACGCGGCGTAAAACTAAACTCACTCACTCAGAGATTTTCGAGACTGAATATATAAGAGTCACTCTCAAGTCTAGGATGATTTGCCAAGACTATATTGCCTTACCTGTAATTAAGCATTGCTCTGGGCGCCATATATAGAGATATATTTTTTTCAATTTATTCATAGAAATATATATTTTGGGTCAAATTTATGTCTGGGACTAGATTAATATCCGAGACTAGATTAATATCCGAGACTAGATTAATATCTAGTCTCGGAAAAGAAAATATTTTGCAGAATAAACCGTTGTTATATTATCATAGTACAACATAATGAAAAGGAATGGTGGATGTTAATATCGCCCTCGGCCGAGTCAAATCGTGACTTGAGAAAAATTGGCACCTCTCCCCTTTTCAATATCCTGGAACCGCCTCTGAGGATACTCAAGACTTGGTCCCTGACAATTTCATAAAATCTGAACAGCAGAACCGTCAGCCACCATGATTTCCCCACCGTGAGTTTATTGACTCAGTCCACGCAACTGAGTGCTCTTTCACCAGCTGATTCTGTTTTGTAATAGACAGATGTCACTCAAGTGATAGATCCGTGCGCAGCTGTTACTTTCACCACCCCATGCACACATTTACACCTTCCACATAGCGTATATCAAACAACTTCCTGGTCACACGCTGTTCCGTGTTCCCCACACGTGTTATCGGACGGATGCAGGTATCGGGTCACAGCAACGAGCTGTCGGAGATTGAATCGGAGTCGGGTTACACATGGATTGCACTCACACAAGGTAAACCGTAACACATTACCGTTATCCTGATATAGCAGAAAAAACACCGAATATGTGTGTAAAAGCATGAGTTTCCTTCGTCGTTTAAATATCGTGTTTATTCTATTTTCTGTTTTCCCTAACGATCTGTTTGATTGGCATACATAAGGTATCACTTTTTTTTTGAACGAGTTCAAATTTAACGTCATTTCATCATTTCAGTTCTATAGCGACGCTTTCCTGAGTACACGTTGTGCAAGGTACACTATACAGGAGTGAGCGAGTTGTGTTTTACACCGCTTTTATCGAATAGTTTCGTCGTGGGCCCCCGCGTGTGATCTGCCTATCGTATCGTATCCTGACTTCAATCGGTGTTCATGCTATCAATTAACCATTGGTTTGTCAATATAATCTAATTATTAAATGGTCATGGGGCTGCTGTAATACTTACTGATGTAATAAATGGGAGATTGGGATCGTTTTCCATTATTCATATTATAATATAGAAAATTCGTTGAATAGGCTATCGATTAATTAAAATTATTTGGTTGTTTCAGAAGATAAAAGCTTTGAAAATAATACACACTGGATATGAGTGCGTAAAACTCGTTAATTCGGGCACTTGTTAAACCGTAAGATTTATGCCGTCCAGATTAACGAGGGTTCATAGTATGTGTTTATATTCATCGTAATATACCAAGCAGCATCTCACATGTCACTCACAGGCAACGGAACTATCAGTGTATCGGATGTGTGCACCCATCTTGCAGCTGTACCGTTAACACTTCAAACGGACGCAAGTCTCGGCAAATAGCTCAGTGAACAATGAAGTACGTGACAGCATAACAGTTCAGTAAACATAGACGTACGTGACATAGCCGGCTGAGAAGGCCAACAACCCAACGTGGTCTGCCTGTGTCTGAACCAGTGTTATACACATTTCAGTTCTGTACAAAAGGTTGTGGAATGACAGTTGGATAGCCTAGTGGTCAAAGCGTTAGGAATGTAAGCCAAACCACGGGGGCTTGTAACGCTAAAGACTGCCATCAAGGTATATACTGTCACTCACAGGGTCTTAGTACTATTATATACTTGATGGCAGTTAAGGTTACAAGCCCCTGTGAGCAAAACTACTTTGCATAAATATGCAAAACTACTTTGCATAAATATGGAAGGGTGGAGAGGGGTATTTTGCATAATAATTCATATCCCCGTCCATAGAATTAAATACTCATGATGATATTGATGGTGATGGTGATGATGATGATGATCGCTGATAATATCCTACCGTCTTAGTTAGAAGCTTGTTTGGATTATGGTGACGATGATATTGATGGTGATGGTGATGATGATGATAATTGCTGATAATATCCTACCGTCTCAGTTTGAAGCTTGTTTGCCTGATGTTGGTGATGATGATGACGACGACGATGTTGATGATGATGATCGCTGATAAATTCCTATCGCCCTATTTTTAAACTTGTTTGCATGATGATGATGATGATGATGATGATGTTGATGATGATGTTGAGTTTAACTGTAACCAAGACCCAGAAGCAGAACGTATTCAGGAAACATGATATCATAATTATGTTATTCACAATAGTAATTTCATACTCACATCACATGTAACGCTGGCCAATGTTTACATTTCAAATCCCACTCCGCTCATGGCCTGCAATATGACCCAATGCACAGGACTAATACCCTCGGGAGGTGTAAAACAAGCTTTACAGACAATTTGTCACTGGTTAGTTACAGGAACGGCCGTCGGCAGAGCCCTGTCTCATGTTATTGCATCGTCAGTGAAATGAGACTTAACGTAATGTTAAAACCCGTGACTCAGTAACGATGTACGGTTCTAACAAGCGACCAGCTAAAGCACTGTACGCTCACTCGCATCGCCCTACTTCCGTATAATGCAATACGGTGCAACTGCACACTTCCTATTGCACGTGGTGCACTATATGTGACTCTGGAACTAAACACACAGACCGTGCATCGTTACGTGAGGCAGTCTGGTCTTAGCGTTTGCCTCTAAGCTTGAGTCCACAACCCGCCTTGGAACCAAACAACCTTTCCTCTCCGCCAAGCCCGCCTGATCAATACACTGCCTGTTTCTAGCCCGTTTGCTATTAACACACAGACCAGGCGAACATCACACTTCATTGTTACCGGTACTTCACCTGGTGTGGTCGGACAATTGTCGGCCTCGCTGTCCAAGACCCCTGGACAATACTATGACCAGACAGTCAACGTGATGGTTCTGAAATAACCATTTGTGATTGGTTTCCTGACTTCATCGGTCAGCGATATAGCAGAGTTCCACCTCACCGTGGATCACCTGGAATTCGGAGATCAAAGTGATACCACTGTGAAGACAGGTTACCTGTGTTGTGTAGTGGACAGAGGTCTGGATACTCTGTATGTGAACGTGTGACCATTCGTTTGAAAGGTAATGTCACTGCGGTCAGATCAACGCTTGTGGAAAGATTTTTGTAATGAGACTGAAATTTATTGCCTGTCACCGTAGATTAATCGAACTGGGAGCAGTTCGATGACACTGATCCTTGTTGGCATAACGAGCTTCTAAAACCGGGTTATTAATCAACCTTCATTTTCCATTTCCACCGTGTTATATTTGTTTTGATTTTCGTTACAGCGACTGGCTACACAAACCACAGTGAAACCACATGGGTCCAAGTTCGTCGTCTCGGGGCGATTAGAAAGCAATAACACTAACTACCAAGTGTCTCCGAGGAAGGAGAGATGGATTGCACTGTCGATTAATTCTGTGGCATACATCAAGCAGATTCGTTTGTCCTAATCCACAAGATGTTTGCAATCAGAGGACGATGTGCTGGGACTTCGTAACGTCCACCCAGACTCAATTTGTGTGTGATATACCGGTGCCACCTCGATCGTACAAGCTCAACTCGGACCGAGAAACCTCTCCTAAATCCTATCCATGTCTCAACAAATCTTTGCTTAGGGGACGTATAAACACAGTGGAGAAGGCTAAGGACGTTTTTAAGTCGAAAGGATTTCAACTATTTCGTACAAACCACGAACTCCGAGAGTTCAAGGCATTAAAGACTGATGAATGGTTCGGACGATAGTGGAGCAGTTCCTCGAGCCAGCAATATGTGTGATTCCCCTGATTATGGTGCATTACCATCGTCGACGGCGATGCAGCAACTGTTGTTGACGGTGGTGATGGTGACGGGATTTGTGTGCACGAAGACGTTGTTTGATAACATACGACGACGGCAGGCCCGTGTCACCGTTGTCGTTATTGGAGCGGGGCCGATCGGGTTGACGGCAGTTCTCGTTGCAGCGAGAAGTCGACGAGTTGGAAAAATTATTTTATTCGAAGAGATGTTTAGGAAAGTTTTACTAAACAGGCAGCATCAAATTGCGTTTGATCACAAAAGTATCCCTTTCTTGAAAAAAATAGGAGTTGATTTTGACAATATCGAGGGTTGTTGGGAAGGCGATTGTTTTTATACACGTGTGGGGATTTTCCAAGAATACCTTCTGGATGTCATTCAAAGGATCAGAACTCCGAAAGAAATCCGACTGGGTACCAAGGTAAGTAAAAGAATTGCTGAAAATTTATAATTTCTGAATCATGTATTTTTCCTGTAATATATCATTTACGGACATGTTCCCATTTTGCCTACAAGAGTGCTACACAAAAGCCAGAACAACGATTAACATTCTAATCTATGTCACACCGTCTTAAATCGCGTGTTTACTTATCAATATGGACGAGTAAAGAAATAAAAAAATAAAATTATTATTTTTTGCACGTACACCTGGTGTGGTCGGATAATTGCCGGCCTTGCTGTCCAAGATCTCAGGACAGTACTCTGATCAGAGAGTCAATGGTTCTGAAATAACCAATAGGAAAGTGACTGGTTTCATGACTATGTAACGCTTTTAATACGCGTGTAATGTGGATGTGAGGACGATGGTGTGTGACTCGACCCATGATTACACAAAGGCATATATACTGTATATATGGCTAACGGTAAACTCGACACATTACTTACGTAACATCAATGTTATGTAACAACTGAAGGTAATTATGCTGAAGACGATAAACGGTTATGTATTCATGATCAAGCGCTAATGACTGACAATTATCAGCGATCCCTATTCACACGTCGTAATACCTGCAATCTTGACTGACATTATGATTAGATTATTTTTCCTTGATTACGTCATCACATGATCAATATTTTTATATACAAATGTTACTTTTATTGTATTCTGAATCATGTTGATGCATTTTGAGAAATTATTATCAATCTGATAATACGAGCTGCGAATCTGTTTTGTATTCGTGACCTTACAAACCGATATATATTTCTTAAATTTATTATTTGTTGTATTCTCAGTTGATGTGTTATGTATGACACAAGGAACGTCATCAGCTCTATCATGTGTATGCATGATGCTGCTTCATGTGACGTAACAATGATAAACAAACAAACAGCATAGCTGGACCATCCTTGCATCATGATGCTCTGGATGTACTCATCACTCCGCTTTTCTCGAAATGGTTTTAAATGGATTTATTCCCCACTGAGCAAATGAGTGACTTTAGTTTTACGCCGCTTTAGCAATATCACTGCGGGGGACACCAGAAATGGGCTTCACACATTGTAACCATGTGGGGAGTCGAACCCGGGTCTTCAACATGACGAGCGACGCTTTAACCACTAGGCTACCCCACCGCCTACTGTACAAATGACGATTGAGCGTATAACTATTGAGCTATACCGGCTCCCTTCCTCAAAGCAATCTTCAAGCGACGATTGTGGTTAAAGTTAGAATACAGAAGTAAATATCATCTCAGCGTGAAAAAGGTTTAAAGGAACATGGTTAATTCATAACTCTTTATTTTAAAGTTAAAAATTGATTTTCATACCTACAACGTAGAATTAATTTTCCATAACTAAAGCTCCTATGACATGACATGATGGTTTGATACAAATTAGAATGGTGTTCCTGGGAGAATAGCAATATTCCAGCAAGAAGATAGCATAGGACACCAGCAATTGGGTCAACACACTGTATCCATGTAGAGAATCGAACCCGGGTCTCCGACATGACGACGCTTTAACTACTAGGCTAGCCTTCGTTTTGTCAGCACTGCATCGCACCTCAAATAACGGATAATCCGAAACCTTTATCGAGATCTCGTGTATACATTTTACCCTTAAAGATCAGGGTTAGGATGAGCCTTCAGAAACCCATGCTTGTCGTAAGAGGCGACTAACGGGATCGGGTGGTCAGGCTCGCTGACACGTGTCATCGTATCCCAATTGCGTAGATCTATGCTCATGCTGTTGATCACTGGATTGTCTGGTCCAGACTCGATCATTTACAGACCGCTGCCATATAGCTGGAATATTGCTGAGTGCAGCGTTAAACAACAATCAAACAACCAAACTATATTATGTCTCTGGTCTATTCAATGAAATACCCACCCGACCCCAATTTCAATAGAGTAATTGCACTGACCCTATACATACTAACGGTATGGACTGACCTTTTGAAGAAATTATCAACATTCTGAATACGGCGTTCAGCAACAAACAAAGCGTATGCATTTTACTTAATGTACCGTTAAATCAATCCATGTTTTTAAGCACTGTTGCGTGCGCGGATTTATAACTGTCCCTATCTTTATTTCGCTTGACACAAACTACGGTCAAGTCAACATACAATCGATGGTACCAGGATCTCGAGTGTACGTTTTACCTAATTCACCGCTAAGCTATCCATAAAATGTTTCTGAGCTCTTTGGAAGCGAGGTGAAGTATTCGGTATTGGGCAATAAGGAGCATGGCTTTGCCAGAAGAGAGACCCACTGAGCGCTCGGCAAACACCGATAACACGTGATGCTCTTAAACTGCTCCATAATTCGAAAATAACGGTAGACATTTTCTTCCTGCTTGAAAGTATTGCCAGCGAGAATAGCAGGTCGATAGAAAAGATCGTGCCAAAGACGAAAGGGCTATTATTTAAGGTTATTATTTCGCGGATAATCTTTATAAATTTCTAAGGAGACCGATGTTTCTGTTTTGTACGATTGTATTCGGAGAATGGACAACGCTTTTAACAGGATTGTCATGGTTCCTGAAAGTGCTTTGTCGCTTGTAATTAAAGGGTCTTGGGAACTCCATAACAAAAGAACTCGTGTTGTTTAACTCAACTTTAACTAAACGTCTAAGTGTTTGTTTAATGTTGAAGTCTAAGCAAATGTTTTCTTGAAACCGTTATTTATGTTACAGCAGATCTGCGCGACACGAAATAGTGAGTGTGAGCGAGTTTAGTTTTTGGACCAGACAATCCAGTGATTAACAGGTATCGATTTACGTAATTGGGATACAATGACATGTGAAAGGGGATATTTACGTAAGTTACATAGTCGAAACCGGAGAATTGATTCAAGATATCCGTACATTCGAGCTACTGGGAATCGAGAGTTGGACTGGGCGTCTAAACATTTTGAAGTATTTCACGTTCATTAAAACCCTTTTTTCCGAATACAGCTGCGTGGAACAGAAATTGTTTTGCAAAATTAAAATTCTGTCATCTTCCAACCTTTGAGAGGATTCCGAGTTTGGTCTCCAGCAACCTGTGCTGGCCGTAAGAAGAAAACAAATGGATCTATGTGTTTTCATAACAGCAGAGGTAGCTGCTCTCGACATCAATCACCGGATTGTGTGATCTATTTTATAGGCCGTCGGCATACAACCCACAAACAGCCATCATCATCTCACTTGTTTCCCTGCAACAGTCGTGTTCCGTTCACTTTGCATCATTTTCCGGCAACAAACACTGCCTCATCCCAAAGGACTTACAACAAATCTTACACAAAGACCTCCCAAAATGGACCGAAGCTATAAATTCTCCCATTACCCCTTTGCCCTTTAACTCGAATCCATTTCATGATTCCTGTTTCCATAAATCCCTTGACCAGAACAAGACAGGGCATCTGAAACGTCTGGGAGAAGTTTCCCGATTCATTTTCTAATTAAACACTCCAAATATTAAATCAGCTTGCAGAATACTTATCCGATTTTCCCTGTCAAGGAATTGAAACCCGTTACCTGACGGCATCACTTTCGAGCTTTAACAGAATAGCGCCATACAGGTTTTATTAATATAGGACATATGTCCAGTTTCAAAGTAGTGTATAGATTCCAGTAATATTCCCAGACTGTCGTTCCTGTAGAAGATGCGCGTCTATTTGGATCTACTCTGAAACAGATCCTCAAGGTCTGGTTATCCCAGTCTGCGAGTGATAGTGTTCCTTGATAATATTGATTGATGATAACAAAATACGGACAGAAGTCTAAGACACAATTAGAACCAGGGCGCGGACGGCCGTGCTGAATAGATCCTGCATGCATTATGCATGGGAGTAAATTGTTTCAGGCATTGGCATGTTGGTATGGTGGGATTATATACCGTTATTTGATACTTTTGAGTGATTTTACAATGATTTGTGAGCGGACATTTTATTGCCTGCCATCAACTGGCAACGATTCGCCCACCTTTTCGCGAACACTTCGTATTACCTTGTATATTCACTATTTGAAAGGGGACGGTGAGGTAGCCTAGTGGTTAAAGTGTTCGCCGAAGAACCGGGTTCGATTCTCCACATGGGTACAATGTGTGAAGCCCATTTCTGGTGTCCCCCGCCGTGATATTGCTGGAATATTGCTAAAAGCGGCGTAAAACCTATTCACTCACTCACTATTTGAAAGTTGTTGTGCTGGGGTAGCCTATATAGTTGATTCACGCCGAAGACCCGGGTTCGAATCCCCACATGGGTACAATGAGCCCATTTCTGGTGTCCCCGCCGTGATGTTGCTGGAATATTTAAAAGCAGCGCATTTGAAAGTTGATATATATAGATGATTAAGATGTACGGTCATGTTATCGTCAAACAATGAGCTTTTTGGCAGAGATTTCTTATTTACGATTTTGTCGCTTTTATTTAGATCAGTGGTTACAGTGTTCTGCCTGTCGAACTCGAATTCATGAGGTATTGCAAGAAATACCTACTTTAATTTTCACCCTGTTAACTGGGTATTGACTAACGCGATATGGCCTTTCAGTAGTGTAGTTGTATTGTCTCCTTAGAATGGCGGGACTCCTTCTGGCCGCTTGTCTTGAACTGCGAGGAACTCTTTTTTCTTCTCTATGAAGAACCGGGTTAGAATTTGTCCGAGTTATATATATTCTCCAGGAACGTATGCTTGTCGTAAGTGGCCAGTTACGGAATCGAAAGAACTGGCTCGCTTACTTCGTGGTTGCGTTTCATGGAACCCTGATACCATAGATCGGTGCTCATGATATCAATCACAGGATTATCCAGCTCTCATCACATCTCTCTCACTTCAGACGATAGAGACGATTGCCGCATCGTTAAAACACACACACACACGCACGCACGCACGCACGCACGCACACACACACACACGTTATATATACTGTGATCATTATGATTACATGTTATATGCTTTTGTTGTGTTAATAGTAGAATACTTCTCTTTCACAGTTTCACA